TACGATCTGCCTGTCCAAGATGGGCAGATCGTACGTTTTTTTAATTACCTTACAACCATCGCAAGACAAAAGTCTTGCGATGGTTGTAAGGTGTGTTCCCAGTATAACAAGGAAGAGCTAGAAGAACATTCTGCAACTAATTAGGTTAACTGATAACAGGTCAGTAACATGATTGTGTATAAAAAGAGCATCTTAGAGAGTCAGAGTGTCTCAGAAGTGAAGGTGGGCCGAGGTTCACCAATCTGTGAAAAGCTGCGTCTAACAATTGTCGAACAATTTCAGAATAATGTTCCTCAATGTAAAATTGTGCCTGCAGTCCAGTGTGAAGCCTATTTCCCAGTATAAGAAATATATTTCTTAATGCCTTGGAGTCCACCAGCCAGCCAGTCAGGAGCCCAGATGAGAAGGTTCAGTAACTCTGAAACAGGTTGGCTTGTCTTTATGAATAAATAAGCATTTTTTGGACTCTAAATCCAATGTGGGTCTCTTTTTTTTCGCAGTAATAAAGCAATAAATGCCAAAGGTAAGATGTGGCAGAACAAATCCAGCCCCGGTATACAAATACAATTCAGGTTTCTGGTTTTGAAGGCGCATTCAATAGCTTTCAGCAGTTTTGCAGTGAGTGAGGGAGTTAAATCATTTGGCTGTTATCCAAATCAATGTATACTAAACCTGGTAAGCCATATGCAAAGAGAACATTGTTTTATGAAGGGTTGTGCCAGATGTCACTATCCAAAGTATACAGGGGTATTAACGGAGATCACTTCCCCAGGTATACACGTGTATTAGCTGAGATCAGTTCCCTAGGTATACAGGGGTATTAACGGAGATCACTTCCCCAGGTATACACAGGTATTAACGGAGATCACTTCCCCAGGTATACACGTGTATTAGCTGAGATCAGTTCCCTAGGTATACAGGGGTATTAACGGAGATCACTTCCCCAGGTATACACAGGTATTAACGGAGATCACTTCCCCAGGTATACACGGGTATTAGCTGAGATCAGTTCCCTAGGTATACAGGGGTACTATTAGCGGAGATCACTTCCCCAGGTATACAGGGGCATTATCTGAGATCACTTCCCCAGGTATACACGTGTATTAGCTGAGATCAGTTCCCTAGGTATACAGGGGTATTAACGGAGATCACTTCCCCAGGTATACACAGGTATTAACGGAGATCACTTCCCCAGGTATACACAGGTATTAACGGAGATCACTTCCCCAGGTATACACGGGTATTAGCTGAGATCAGTTCCCTAGGTATACAGGGGTACTATTAGCAGAGATCACTTCCCCAGGTATACAGGGGCATTAGCTGAGATCACTTCCCCAGGTATACAGGGGTATTAGCTGAGATCACTTTCCCAGGTATACACGTGTATTAGCTGAGATCACTTTCCTAAGTATACAGGGGTATTAGCCGAGATCACTTCCCCAGGTATAGAGGGGTATTATCTGAGATCACTTCCCCAGGTATACAGGGGTATTATCTGAGATCACTTCCCCAGGTATACAGGGGTATAAGCTGAGATCACTTCCCCGGGTATACAGGGGTATTAGCTGAAATCACTTCCCCGGGTATACAGGGGTATTAGCTGAAATCACTTCCCCAGGTATACAGGGGTATTAGCTGAAATCACTTCCCCAGGTATACAGGGGTATTAGCTGAGGTCACTTTCCAAGGTATACAAGGGTATTAGCTGAGATCACTTGCCCAGGTATACAGGGGTATTATCTGAGGTCACTTTCCCAGGTATACAGGGGTATTAGCTGAGGTCACTTTCCAAGGTATACAAGGGTATTAGCTGAGATCACTTGCCCAGGTATACAGAGGTATTATCTGAGATCACTTACCCAGGTATACAGGGGTATTATCTGAGATCACTTGCCCAGGTATACAGGGGTATTAGCTGAGATCACTTTCCCAGGTATAAAGGGGTATTAGCTGAGATCACTTTCCCAGGTATACAGGGGTATCAGCTGAGATCACTTTCCAAGGTATACAGGGGTATTAGCTGATATCACTTTCCAAGGTATACAGGGGTATTATCTGAGATCACTTCCCCAGGTATACAGGGGTATAAGCTGAGATCACTTCCCCGGGTATACAGGGGTATTAGCTGAAATCACTTCCCCAGGTATACAGGGGTATTAGCTGAGATCTTTTCCTCAAGTATCCAGGGATATTATCTGAGATCACTTTCCCAGGTATACAGGGGTATTAGCTGAGATCGTTCCCTCAAATATCCAGGGGTATTATCTGAGATCACTTACCCAGGTATACAGGGGTATTATCTGAGGTCACTTTCCAAGGTATACAAGGGTATTAGCTGAGATCACTTGCCCAGGTATACAGGGGTATTATCTGAGATCACTTGCCCAGGTATACAAGGGTATTAGCTGAGATCACTTGCCCAGGTATACAGAGGTATTATCTGAGATCACTTACCCAGGTATACAGGGGTATTATCTGAGGTCACTTTCCAAGGTATACAAGGGTATTAGCTGAGATCACTTGCCCAGGTATACAGGGGTATTATCTGAGGTCACTTTCCCAGGTATACAGGGGTATTAGCTGAGATCACTTTCCCAGGTATACAGGGGTATTAGCTGAGATCACTTTCCCAGGTATACAGGGGCATTAGCTGAGATCCCTTCCTCAAGTATACAGGGGTATTAGATGAGATCACTTCCCCAGTGTATCTGTTGCCTGTCTGAGGACTAAGCAAATACTGGTAGACTAGATCAATACTCAGCTTGTCAATATCAGGGAAACACTTTGTGACTCATGCCTCGGTGCTGTCAGTGCTTCCTTGTAAGCTGACAGCCTCAGGTCTTTAGCCTTTCAGTCATTTCAGCCTGCTGAACAGGTGTTCTAGAAAGAGAACAGATTTTATTTCTGCAAGTGAGTGACTACCGGAAAAATCACTGTAACATTTCCATGTACAAAGCTTACCATTTAAAGGTTACGGTCCACCCAAAACCAATATATAAGTGTATGGTAGATGCTGGGGAGCTACACCACCTGGCAATGTCTAATATCTCTGGATACCTCAAAGCATGAACTAAAGAAAGAGCGGCAGACCAAATTCAAAAATAGCGCTAAATCAAATCTAAACCCAAAAGCAAAAATGTTATATATTGCAGTTAACCAATCCTTAAATACGGTGGGTGCATTACCAGTTCTTTGCTTGACAGATTTTAGACTAAGGTGTTTCACCTACTGAGTAGTTTATTTTATGTGACACTTGGTAAGGACCCCTGGTTGGGCCTCCTGTATCTCAAATCTTCAATTTTTACTAGAAAACAACACTGCTTGGCCACTTATGTACTCCTGGCAGCTAAACAGGCTATCAGGTGTCCCTATTCTATGGAAACAGGAGACCCCACCTTCGATACAGCTCTGGTTTACCAAAGTGAATGACATCAGAACCATGGAGGACCTGACTAGCTCCATTAGGGGTACCTCCACCAAATTCGCCACCACCTGGTTTTACTGGGACGAATTCACCGCAACGGCCGAGTACCAAACCATCATGGCTTCCTGCGGAAAGCGGTCACAATCCTAGCTTGCCCCCCCCCTCCCGTCCCCAAACCCCCTGTCCACCTATTGTATGTTTCCTCCCCAACCCGACCTACATTAGAGGTCACTACGGTAATCCCAATGTGGACGCCCCGCCACGCCGGGCAGACCATAAAATGTCATTAGTAGCACTTCTGGCTCGCACACGTTGGCGATGCGACCTATTCAACTACGGGCAAGACCCTCGCGGATGCTAGGGCTAGTCGTGCGATCAATGTTTGAAATGCCGTAGTCGATCTGTCTGTTTATTACAATTATCAGAGTTCTCTGTATTTTTGTTGTGATAAGATGTGACACAACCGCCTTTGTTTGTTGTTATATTACGAAACTGTTCAATAAAGAATTTATAAAAAAAAAAAAGGCTATCAGCCATGCTTGGAAAAAACTATTTGTATCGTTTGATGAGGTCAAGCGGCGGGTAGATTTATTTTTTCTGAACGAAAAATTGACAAGTATACTTCTTGATTCCAATAAAAAATTTGTAAAGATCTGGCAACTATGGATTGGCCATGCCTATCCCTCCCTGTCCCCGGACAGTTTATTTTATCGTCCCTCTAGGCCCTGAGATCTTCGTCTACTAAGGACCTGAGGACCCCGACGCCATCCTCTTTTCTCCTCTCTTTTGGATCTTTAATCCTCCTTTCCTCTGTTGTGTTCTCCTGATTTCTGTTTCTCCCTTTTCTTTAGCTGTATTTGGATTTCCTATGCAACTTAATTGTTGTTGACCATTTCCGATTATATACAGCGTTATGTTTCTATTACATAATACAAATTGTATATTTCTAGAAAACTTGAATAAAATATTGGAAACAAGAAAAAAAAGTTGTATCCGGAATTCTGATTTCATTTGTTCAAGTCCATCTAAATCTGCTCGTAAATCTAACTCTACCCACTCCAAGGTGACGCTGTTGCTCCTCTATTGAGTGGAGTAATCCAAAGACAGGAAGTGTGTTATTAGCCAGATCACCAGGTGAAAATAAAGGAAAAGAAGTCTAAAAAAAGGAAATTAATGCAGCCATTACATTTAGGCTAAGTTCACACCTAGGTGATTCAGATGCCGAGCTGTTGTCGCGCGTTTTCGACCGCACGACTGTTCATTGGAAACCATGTGGTTATCGCACGGTTCTCAATGCATAGAGATGTCTATGGGACCAAAACCGCGCGACAACCGCCTGAAAATCGCTCCTGCACCTTTTCGCGCTACAGGCGATTTAGTCCACGTGAATGAGTGAGGATAAGGGAATCTGCTGGAAAGAAGTCCATTAGTATATGGCCAGATTAGCTTTACTTTAAAGTAGAACTCTGGGGGGAAAAAAAATCAAAAACTTACCCTTGCAGTGGGCTACCCCTACAATGCAAAGGTTAAGTGTTCGTTTCGTTTAGGGGGGGTGAAATAAAGTGGATATACTCACCTGATCCTCGGTTCCACCAGCTCCCTCTGGACTGCTAGACCGCTCCCTACAGCTTTTTCTTCCCTGGGCTCCGCTGGTCTAAGGACCACTGACGTCATTATGTTTTATGAAGGTCCACTGACCTGTATTGGACGTGAGGACACCAAGGATTCCATAGTCGGAGAAGAGAGGGAGAGAGGCGAGTGTTGGCCGCCACAGGACTGTGGATCAGGTAAGTAAATCTGCTTTATTTGATAAAGACAAAATTTTTTTAAACATCGGGGTGCCAGCTGAGTCACACACTGGTCAATTTTCGTCAGCAGCCCGGTATGGCCAGAGAACAGGTTCACTATGATCTCTCCTCCTTGTGCTATTTATTGTCTGAAGCCATTCCTGTGTATTTTGCTGTTTTGTGATCTTATCAAAACAACTATCAAACATCATCCGGCCACTTCAACCAAATCTGAAATGGAAACTTTTATGTTGTATAAATAACGTATTCAGGGGAATCAAGAGAAGTGTAGAACGGTGGGGGAGCTATCAGGTAGAAAGTGAGAATGCTTTCCGGTCAGAGAAAGGTGCGCATGTATACGAGAAGAAGTGACCAGTATGGAAACAAGTATATCCAGATGAGCTTCCAGATCTCATCACACACCGTGTAACATTCTTTACCATGAACACAATGTGAAATGCAGATGGTTCATTATGATAAATTATACTAAGCTTGTATGTCACGCATTATATACAGGATAGATAGATTGATAAATAGATAGATAAATAGATTCAGTATAGATAGATTCAGTATAGATAGATAGATAGATTCAGAGTCGATAGACAGACAGACAAATAGATAAGAGTGTCCGGGAAGGTTCCAGGCCATGGCATAGCCGGTGGTAGGTCAGTGTCGTAATAGTCAACTCAGCTCTTTATTATTGAAGACATTTTGTAACTTATCCGAGCCATGAAACCTGGAACTGAACTGAAGAAGTGTCTTGGATAAGCTACAAAACGTCTCCAACATTCTAGAACGTATCCAGGAAAAGGTGACCAACCACTACTGGGAATAGCAGTATTTCTGGAGGTAGTATGGTATCTAGAAGAGCCTACTACGGTATGGCATGGGACAACCAAGTATCTAGATAAAACCCCACATACATTAGGAATGTGCACCACTCTCAGTGACCAACACTTCAACTCTGCATAGGACTTCTGTAAAAGTTGCATGACCGGTCCTCGGTTGGGACGCGGCCACTGAAGGAGTCAAACCTGAAAACCATATACTAGATCTTACACATATGTTTACATCCCACACTGAATTCACTGGAGTTGGGCTTATGAAATATGACAAATTGTAACCAACCAATCTGTGATCCTCTAGCATTGCTCCAGCAGTTGTAACTGGAAGAAATCTGAAATCTGATTGGCTGCCTGTAGAATAACACGCTACAATGACTCTTCTAGGAGAATGTAGAAGCTGATGGGGATTGCAGTCATGAAGCAGTTGTCAGGTACCTGTGTAAGCTCTGCTGTGATATGTCATTGGCAATGCAGTGAAAACAAACAATAGTAGAGGAGGCAGCATGAGGATCCTTACCAGCCAGAATTGTCAGCAGACTGTGTGCCATGGGTGTCAGTGATGCTGTGTGCCCCCCATCCTCTCCATACACATCGCACTGCTCTCGGGTCTCTGTAGCGCTGCACCCACCCAGGCTGGAGCTATTCTCCCGAGACAGACAGGTAACACATCAATCCGCGATCCCCGCTCCGCTCTGTACACCGAGACTGCCCATGCAACCCCGCCTGGCAACGCGCATGCGCAGCCCTCCTCCCTCTTCCGGACTATTCATCCCAGCCTGCAGATGTACTCCCAGCATGGGCTGGAGAGGTGCTGGAGGAATGACCTCCAACTTCTTATCGCCTCCTTGTTTTTACATCATTAGTCACACACAAAGAGGGGCAATCTGCAGCCGCTGATTTCTGGTAGATGAATAGGCTCCCTTCACTAAAATGGATGAGTTTTAAAGTGTGTGCAAAGCAGGAGGGGGGGACTGGGCTAGGGACAGGGGGGCAGTTGCTCCCCCTGACCAGTGCAAATAATATATGATAGGATGATATGGTGGTCAATCAGAATGGGAACCTTATTGACTGCTGCTATTTGCTCCCCCTGACCAGTACAGATAATATAAAATAGGCTGGGGGGTCTTGAGCGGAGATACTGACCCGTTGGGACCTCAATCAGAATGGGAACCTCAATGACCGCTGCTATTTGCTCCCCCTGACCAGTACAGGTAATATATAACAGGCTGGTGGTCCTGAGTGGAGATACTGACCCATTGGGACCTCAATCAGAATGGAACCTCATTGACTGCTGCTTTTTGATTCCTAACCAGTAGGATAATATATAACAGGCTGGTGGTCCTGAGTGGAGATAATGACCCATTCGGACCTCAATCAGAATGGGAACCTCATTGACTGCTGCTATTTGACCCCCCTGAACAGTACACATAATATAGAACAGGCTGGTGGTCCTGAGTGGAGATACTGTCACATTTGGACCTCAATCAGAATGGGAACCTCATTGACTGCTGCTATTTTCTCCCCCTGACCAGTACAGATCATATATAACAGACTGGTGGTCCTGAGTGGAAATACTGACCCATTCGGACCTCAATCAGAAAGAAAGTGTGGAAAGTGTGTGTGATGTCATTACACACATGCATGTCACCTGGTGGCCGCTGTGGGTGACACCACACCTGGGGACACCCCTGATCACAGGAGCGAGCTTGGAGCCGTGGCTGCTTTACAACACACACAGGGACCATGGGGAACAAAAGTAGCCCTAGGTAATGTTGTGTAACACCACATATAATGCTGAGCCTCCATGATTAAAAAAGTTGAAATCAAATGAATGAAAGGGGCGGGGCCTGGAACAGCCATACTGGGGAGGAAAGAGCTAGAGGATACAGGACACCCTCCAGCCAGGATATAAGGTGGTCTCTATCTGACATGGTGTAGCTTCTAATGCACATTATGAGAAGCTTTCAGTGTGCAGTGAAATCAGAGTAAAGCCATTTAATTACAGGATAGGAACCTGTACAACTGTGGTCAACTTTAAGATCACCTTTTTATTTACTATTAGTCCTGACCATAATAAATAAATAAATAAATAGGAAAAAACAAATATGTACAAGTCTACTAAATATTTGCAAAGCCTTGCAATTTCAGAGAAACAACAACCCACTCTGTGAAAACACGTCTTTAGGGGTTTATATGAAAGAGGCAATAACTGAGATGAAATATATAAAGCCCAAGTGCTGTAGGAGAGTGCACGGTGCATGGCAGCAGGAAGCAAGTGCAGGAGAGGAGTACAGCGGGTATTAGGGAGCAATATGTGCAGGAGGAAAGTGCACAGTGCATGGCAGCAGGAAGCATGTGCAGGAGAGGAGTACAGCGGGTATTAGGGAGCAATATGTGCAGGAGGAAAGTGCACAGTACATGGCAGCAGGAAGTATGTGCAGGAGAGGAGAACAGAGGGTATTAGGTGGAAACTATGTGCAGGAGGAGAGTGCACAGTGCATGGGAGCAGGAAGCATGTGCAGGACAGGAGTACAGAGGGTATTAGGGGCAATATGTGCAGGAGGAGAGTGCACAGTGCATAATAGCAGGCAGTATGTGCAGGAGAGGTCTACAGTGGGTATTAGGGGTGAATTATGTGCAGGAGGAGAGTGCACAGTGCATAATAGCAGGCAGTATGTGCAGGAGAGGTCTACAGTGGGTATTAGGGGTGAATTATGTGCAGGAGGAGAGTGCACAGTGCATGGCAGAAGGCAGTATGTGCAGTAGAGGAGTACAGAGGATATTAGGGGGGAATTATGTGCAGGAGGAGAGTGCACAGTGCAAGGCCAGAAGGCAGTATGTCCAGGAGAGGAGTACAGAGGGTATTAGGGGTGAATAATGTGCAGGAGGAGAGTGCACAGTGCATGGCAGAAGGCAGTATGCGCATGAGAGGAGTACAGAGGGTATTAGGGGTGAATTATGTGCAGGAGGAGAGTGCACAGTGCATGGCAGAAGGCAGTATGCGCATGAGAGGAGTACAGAGGGTATTAGGGGTGAATTATGTGCAGGAGGAGAGTGCACAGTGCATGGCAGAAGTCAGTATGTGCAGGAGAGGAGTGTAGAGGGTATTGGGGGAATTATGTGCAGGAGGAGAGTCTGCAGGGTATTATATAGAAAAACAAGTGCAGGAGAGGAGTACAGAGAATATGCAATGGGCAATATGCATATTATTGAAAGTCTTATCAATAATACGAGTCTGGCTGAGTTTGATTTACAGGGTTATTCACAAAAGGGTGAAGAGTTTGGAGAAGGCAGGAGAAGTGAACAATCTAGGACAACATAGCTGATTTGGAACATTTCTCCAATTCAGCTCACTTTCAGGTTCAGTTATGTGGTCCTAGATTGTTCACTTCTCCTGCATTCTCCAAACTCTTCACCCTTTTGTGAATAACCCTGTTAGTGTTGAAGATGAGTTGGGAATCATACTGCCTGGAGGTGGGGATTGTGAGGACTGTAATACACACATTGTATCAGACATAAAGAAATCTAGAAATAATTTGGTTTGTCTAATTCAGGGGTGCCCACAATTTTTGTGTTAAGATCTACTTTTCAAATAACGAGCTACATGAGATCTACCAACTAAAAAAAACCTCCCTCGCTCTCTCTCCTGGCTGTCTCTCCTGGCTCCCCTGAGTGTCTCTCCTTGCTCATCCTCCTGGCTGTCTCTCCTCTCTCTCTCTCTCTCCTCATTCTTCATTTTCTCTCCTGGCTGTCATTCCTCGTTTTCTCTCCTGGCTGTCTCTCTTCGCTCTCCTGGCTGTCTCTCCTCTCTCTCTCTCTTTCCTATCTGTCTCTCCTTGCTCTCTCCCTCCTGGCTGTCTCTCCTCGCTCTCTCCCCCCTGACTGTCTTTCCTCTCACTCCTGTCTGTCTCTCCCCGCTCTGTCTCCTGGCTCACCTTGCTGTATTTTGCAGCAGGCTGTGTAAAGTAATATTCTTTGATGTAATACATAGCACTTCAACCACCAGTATCCCCCAGAAAGGTGTCAGGGAGCTTGGCTCAGC